TCTAATTCCATTTCTGTGTATTTACTAAAGTGAAATGAAATCTTATATGTATAAAAAGGCTTGTAAGTGAATGTCTGTAACAACTATTCATAAAACTGGAAACAACTCAAACGTCTACCATCAGGTGAATGAATAAATCAGTTGTGATATATCCATTCAATGACATACCACTCAGCTACAAGAAGGAATGAACTACTAATACATGTAACACCATAGATGAACCTCAAAAACATTATGCTGAGTAAAAGAAGCCAGGCAACACATATGATTCTATTTACATAAGATCCTAGACTAGGCAATACTAACCTATGAAGACCAAAAAGAAAAACAGATGAAAGGATGTCTGGAGCTGGAGTAACAATGGGGGAGATTAACTGCCAAAGGATATGAAGGACACAAAATGTTCTATTACCTTATCTGAGGTAGTGGTAATATAGCTATATATATTTGTCAAAACATATCAAACTATATAATATTTTTAATGAGTATGTGGGTATGTGATTGAATATAAATTATATTTCAGTGGTTGATTTTTTTCAAAAAACAATTTCAAAGAAGCCACTTTGAATATATAAACCTAGAGGGTTGGGCAAAAGTAGGTTTTCAGTTGTGACTATGTCAAACACAGAGGTTATTCTTCTATTACTATTTATTAGTAATAAATAGTATTAGTTTATACTAATACTATTTATTACTAAAACTAATAACTATTATTAGTTTTTCTATATAAACAACTGTAAACCTACTTTTGCTGCACCCTCTATATGAATCTTTTCTTCATAAGCCTTCATACCTAAAGAGCAATATAATTTGATTAATACTTCATAAGCTTACCTAGCTGAAGATTTCATCTAAATCAACCCTAGTCTTTATTCCAAATTGGTGTTAAGCCTGGCTCTAAGATAAAGTCAAGAATCTAATATTCTAATACTTAATGTCTTCTTGAGACAAAGAGTAGAATTCAAAACACTTAGAAAAAAAGAAAGCACCAACTTCCTTAGTATAGCTTAATTTAACACCAAGGAATTTATTATTATAAAGGGATCATAAACCATGTTTTCATCAGAGCCATGAAGCCCTCTTACAGCACCAACAAAATTATATTCTTGTCATCTTTAGTATTAAGTGATGAAAGAAGCACTGGTCTAGGAAGCAAACTGTGTATTACAACAGTGGGGAAACTCATAACTAGCAATATCTCATCCCAAAATCTGTCTCAAGCATATTCTTAAATTTGGCCACCTAACTTATTAGTATATTAGTTTGGCAACAGTCCCTATCCTATGAAATTACTAGCCACCAAAGTGGTTTTTTTATTAATAGATATTTATTGAGAACTATGATGGTCCCATGAAGGACAGGACACAATCTCTAAACTCAAATCGCATATAAAGTGGAAGAGTGAGTATATACCAACTATAATTTAAAGAAGTTTAAAAGATTTTAACAAAGTGCTAAAGTCATGAAGCAGGAATATTTATCTCTGAAAAAGAGTGTAAATATGTAGCTAACTTAGCTGAATACCCTAAATTAGATTTCATCCTATGTAATTTTTGATGACCTCTTAGATACTTTATATCAAACATTCAAGAGAAATCTAATTAATTTGAAATAGGAGTTTGTAATGATTTCCACAAAGATAAATTTACTGTTTTAAACTGGATTATAGTTTAAATCAGAACACAAAAACTGTATAAGCATAACAAGAGATATTTAAAATTACCCTTTAAGTTAAACAAGTTCAATGATAAATTATTACTGAATTATAAAGTATTAATATTATTTTCCCGAACATCTCTTAGGACTACTTCAGTACTAGCTACTCTGTATACCTAAAATTGATAAAGTTTCATTTATGTTAAAAAAGGTCAGCTAACTTCTAGCCAAGATGGACGCATAAGCAGATACACTTTGCCTTTTACAACCAAAAGCACGACAACAAATTTAAAATTAAAAAAAAATAAATAACCAGAACTGCCAGAGGGGAGAGGGGTCAAACTATATGGAAGTCCAACAACCAAGGAGTTAAAGAAGAAACATTCATCCAATCAGTAGGAGGGATGGAGATGGACAACGGGATGGACAACGGGATGGACAACGGGATGGACAGGATGCAGCAAGGCAGCAGCTGGAAGACCAGGATAGGCCTACATTTGTGTGCGGATAAACCAGGAAGAACAACCGGGGAGCAAGACAGACTGAACAACCCAGGGTTCCAACATGGGGAAAAGAAAACTTCAAAACACCTGTAAAATTCTGGCTGTAAAAATTTGTGGGTGTTGAGGTGTTGGGAGAAACCCCCAGCTTCACAGGACAATTCGCTGGAGAGACCCAACAATACCAAGAATGTATACAAACCCACCCACCTGGAAATCATCATCAGAAGGGCCCAATTTGCTTGTGGGTAGTAGGTGAATGACTGAAAGCCTGTGGAGAGCCAAACAAGCAGTATTGTTCCCTTTCTGAACCCCTCCCCCATATACAGCACCACAATGCAGTAACAGGGATTGCCCTACGCTGGTAAATAACTTAGCTTCCACCCCTTACAATGTAACAGGCACATGGAGAAAAAGAAATGTGGCCCAAGTGAAAGAACAGATCAAAACTCCAAAAATAGAACTAAGCGATGAAGAGATAGCCAATCTATCAGATGTACAGTTCAAACCACTGGTAATGAGGATGCTCACAGAAATGGTTGAGTAAGGTTTCAAGATAGAGAAAAAAGTGAAGGCTATGAAAAGTGAAATAAAGGAAAATGTACAGGGAACTGGGAAGGGAAGGAAACCAGGGCTCAAATCAATGGTTTGAAGAAGGAAGAAAAGAACATTGAACTGGAACAGAATGAAGAAACAAGAATTCAAAAAAAATGAGGAGAGACTTAGGAACCTCTGGGACAACTTTAAACTTTCCAACATCTGAATCACAGGGATGCCAGAAAGAGGAGAAGAGGAGCAAGAAATTGAAAACTTATTTGAAAAAATAATGAAGAACTTCCACAATCTGGCAAAGGAAACAGATTTCCAGGAAGCTCAGAGAGTCCCAAAGAAGTTGAACCCAAGGAAGCACATACCAAGGCACATTATAATTACATTACCTAAGATTAAAGATAAGGAGAGACTCTTAAAGGCAGCAAGAGAAAAGGAGACAATTACCTACAAAGGAGTTCCTGTAAGGCTAGCAGCTGATTTCTGAAAAGAAACCTTACAGGGCAGAAAGATCTGAAACAACTACTCAAAATGGTGAAAGGCAGGGACCTACAACCTAGATTACTCTATCCAGCAAAGCTATTATTTAGAATGGGAGAGCAAATAAAGTGCTTCCCAGACAAGGTCAAGTTAAAGGAATTCATCATCACCAAGCCCTTATTATATGAAATGTTAAAGGGACTTACCTAAGAAAAAGAAGATAAAAAATATGAACAGTAAAATGACAACAAACCCACAACTATCAACAACCAAATCTAAAAACCAAAAACAAACAACTAGAACAGGAACAGATTCACAGAAACAGAGATCACATGGGGAGGGGGAAGCAGGGAGGGGAAGTTGGAGAATGGGGGAAAAGGTACAGGGAATAAGAAGCATAAAGAGTAGATACAAAATAGTCAGGAGGAATTTAAGAATAGTATGGGAAATGGAGAAGCCAAAATAATTTGTATGTATGACCCATGGCCATGAACTAAGGTGGGGCAATAGTGGTGGAAAGGGGGATACAGGGCAGAGGAGAATAAAGGGGAGAAAAAAATGGAACTGTAATAGCATTATCAATAAAATATACATTAAAAAAAAAGAAAGGAGGTCAGTTTACACTGGCTTCCGGCATACTAATAATTTATAAAATATTATAAATTTTTATAGTAAGTTAACAAAAAGTCAATTCTGTATTAGTAGCCCTTGAAAATAAAATTTCCTCATGTATAAAAATACAGATTACATATTTTTTAAAGATTTATTTATTTTTAGAGAGAGGGAAAGGGAAGGAGAAAGAGGGAGAGAAATAGCAACGTGTGGTTGCTTTTTGCATACCCCCTTCTAGGGCTCTGGCCTGCAACACAGACATGTACCCTGACTAGGAATTGAACCAGCAACCCTTTGGTTCACTACCCACAGTCAATTCACTGAGCTACACCAGCCAGGGTAGATTATATTTTTCATGGTATCTTAGAAAACTATGCAACAATGTTTGACATTTTATATTTTCAGAATTAAAAGTTTTCTTTTACAATTAGAAAATGTTCTTGCATATTTAATGTCTAATTCAACTGCTTTAATAAGTAAAATAGCACATTCCAACTTAAGTTTCATACCTAAACACTCAGTTTGAAAACAGAAACCTGAGAAAACTTATTTTACAGTATCTATTTATTTATCAATAAATGAAACAGTTCTTAATGGGAGGATACCTTAAGTATATTTAAGAGAATTAATTATCCATTTTTTAATTTATGAAATGATTCAAAGTGTAACTTGCAGATGAAGCCGGAAAAAAATAATATACAAGGTGAACAAATACTTAATACTATAGACACCAAACCTTGGCAGAGAACAAGGTAGAACAGTATAAAGAAAAACATGAGTCTGGAGTCACATCTGAACTCAGTCTCAGCTTTGTCACTTATTAACATATAACTATCATAATGTTATTTGACAGTACTGAGCCTCAGTTTTCTTGTAAGATAAATATGGGCCTACAAGAAATTGAAAATCAAATGAATATTCGTAAATAGGCATATAATAAGTACCAAGTAAATCTTAGTTTTTCTTTTATCTTAGATAAGACAATTGTTTTCACATCTAGTCACTTAGAAAATAAAATTATTTCAGCAAATCCAAAAGAAAAACTAGATTCTAGCAATGAAAATCTTTAGTACAGTCATACAGTTACGATATCCAAATACATGAGAAAATAATCCCCCATCAGTAAACAGTATTACTGAGAAACTCTCCAAAATGTTAAAGCCAAGAAAACATTTCATTAAAATAGCAGTAGTTAATATATACCACTCTCCACAGTGCACAGCCTTCAACACTCCAACAGCAGCTGTAGTCTGTCGTTCAAAACCTTGTCCTATATGATCTGCATGAGCTCTTGTCCTGTCTTCAAAGAGCATCTCACGGGGTTCACTAGTTCGAGGTAGGTATTGCAGGTTTTTTATTTCATTGGTAGTTCTGTTTTTTAAAAAAATTAAACTTACATTTTATATATATTTTTTATAGAGAGAAATGGAGTTAAAACGGGTTGGATAGGCTTATGTATTAAGGCTTAATTATCCTCAAACACTTGTATTGAGGTTTAACTGCCACCAAGCATTTAGTAATCAAGTAATTCAAAGAAATGAAATTATAAATCATCTGCTCCTAAATCAAGTGTTCTTTTTAAAATGAACAAGAACAAACAAGAGCACATATATAATAGACTCTTTTTCATATACCCTTCACAAGTGGAAGTTTAAAGGCAAATATATACTTGGATAAGAAAAATAAATTACATGTAGTGCGGTTTACCCAGGTCTCCCTGTACCCAGAATCTTTACCTGAAGTTTGAGTCGAACCTGTGGAAGTACGCCCCCAATCAGGTCACACAGCTAACACAAAGTACAGATCTTGAACAAATAGGTAATTTTTAAAAATGCACTGATTTAATATTTATAGAGCAACTACTATGTCAGTCATGATCTAGGCCCTGGAGCTAGTGAACAAGACAGTAGTGAATAAGATAAGTTCCCTACTCTTATGGAAGTTTATATTCTAACAAAAGAAAAACAAAAAAACAAAATAGGAAGAAAACAACAAGCATAAGTGCTTCCATAAAACACACATGATTTATTGGAGGTAGAAAGGAAAACCTTAGCTCCCTCTCAAGAGGACAGTCACACCCATTGGCCCTCCCTCCACTGCTCACCACTCAGAAAACATACACACAGAAGCTGCTGACTACTTAGTCTCACTCACTGCAGAAACCCTCTCAAACTTTGCTGTAGAAGGGGAAAAAGAGTAAGAAGAATTTCTTGGATTGGGAATCATCATCTTATTTATCTTCCTGTAGGGTTTTTCTTTTCCAAAGAAAAGTCCAGATTGTGCCATAATATTCTCCTCTTATCCCAGTCTCTCTCTTAGGGTCTCTTTCTTATTAGTTCTTTGATTTCTCACCTTTACTCTCTACTATTACTGCTCTTTGTGCAATCCTGCATTATAGTCTTATTACACACTCACACGCACAGATGACGCTACAACATACTTTTTCAGTCTTGGAGATTTATGGTCTACAGATGTCAGAAAGCTAGATGATGATGTTGCTTCCCATGGAAAGCTAACAAATAGGCTTTTGAGCCCACGATATGGTGTCCAATAATTTTGTCCAATTAACCATATTCTAATGAATAAGACTTTCGCATAATAGCTAGGGGAATGTTGTTGTTAGTTTGGTCAGACTGTAATGGGATATGAAATTATTGGATATATGATGGATTTATAATCACTGCTGTACAGGCAAATTCCTTAAGGGGCTGCTGAACTCCCTTAGATTACATGGAAAAGGGTGTGCATATCTGTTATCGCCCTGGGCAGAGGCTTTCAGATTCTCAAAACAATTCATAAATCCGAATTAAGAACCACTGAGAAACACCAATTTTACCATTTACTACCAACTTAGATATTGTAAAAATTTCATTCAACCAATAAAAATTTATTAAGCAGTACATACTCCTTTTAGGTGCTGGAGCATATCAGTAACAAGAACAAGACAGTCCCTGCCTTCATGCACCCTACAGTTGCCCAAGGACCATTTTTCTTTTTTAAATTAATAATCACTGTAACCAGTGAAACCATTTTTTGTTATCTAAGAAAAAGGTATCATTTCCCTCAGTATCCCCCACTCCATTCCTACAAAATGTTAACCTAGTGTACATTTTTCCATACTTTTTTCTACGCTCATATAAATATTGGGTTGGCCAACAAATTAATTCATTTTTTTTCTATACGATGGCTCCAGTAGCATTTAGTTGTTTTTAACTTCATTTGAAATTATTTTGTTAAGATTGTATTGTGACAGTTGTCATAACAGTGTGCATTAAAAAAAACATCAAAACTGGTGAATTTTTGTGTAGCCATTTTAATATTGAAGATGGAAGAAAATAAGCAACATTTTCAGCACTTTCTTATTATTCTAAGAAAGGTAAAAACCCAACTGAAATACAAAAAAGGGTTTGTGCAGTGTATGGAGAAGGTACTGTGACTGACTGAATGTGTTAAAAGTGGTTTGCAAAGTTTTATGCTGGAAATTTTTCACTGCTTGATGACAGTGATCAAATCGAGCCATTAATTGACAACAATCAACGTTACACTATGTGAAATATAGCCAAGATACTCAAAATATCCAAATCAATAAAGTTACTGGTGAGTATGAAAAATATGTCTTTTGGCCCAGCACTTGATGGACTGAGTGCTGGCCTGCCAACCAAATGACTCATTTGATTCCCAGTCAGGGCACACACCTGCGTTGCAGACCAGGCCCCCAGCAAGGGACACTCGAGAGGCAACCATGCACTGATGTTTCTCTTCCTGTCTTCCTCCCTCCCTTCCCATCTAAGAGTAAATGAAATCTTTAGAAAAAAAGAAAAGAAAAATGTGCCTTTTATTGTACAGAACAAAACCATATGGACTTTTTGGCCAACCCAATATATATTTATACGTATGTTTTTCATCTCTTCTAAAAATAGAATTATAGTGGGCATATTACTCTACATTTTACTCTTTTCAAGTCATAGATATCCTTCCAGATCAACGAACAGAAATAATTTATTTATTTTAACTGTTTCACCGTATTCTTTAATAGGAATGTGTCAAAATGTAGTCAAACATCCCTGTTAATAATGGCCATTCGGACCACTTTAAACCTTTTTCTCACTACAAATAATGCTGCAATCAATATTCTTACTACATTTTCCTTTAGGGCTTTTATGTCTTGAGACAGATGTCAAAAGTGGGTGTGCTGGTTTACAGAGTATATATAGTATGTGAAACTTTATAAGCTACTGCTAAACTCCTTTCACAAAACAACTATAGTGGCTCACCAACAATGTGTAAATAACTTTGTTTTCCTCACCTACCTACCAGCCTGTAATATTACTACCTTCTTAATAATTTTTGTCAATGTAATTAATAAAAATAGTTATCATAAATATTTTAATATACACTTGACTACCTATGGCCTATTTTTCTGTTGGGTTGTTTATATTTTTCTTGTCAATTTAGGAATACTCTTTGTATACTAACTTTAGTTTGCCACCTGGTACAAGTGTTTTAGTCAATCTATCATAGTTTTGAACTTTGTTGTTGATGTCTTTTCTCTCACTAATACTATTGCCATTATATTTTTTATCTGCTGAGGAAATGTCTCTCCTAGGCTTAAAAATTTTATTCTAGCCCTGGCTGGTGCGGCTCCGTGGATAAGCATCAGTCTATAAACCAAAAAGGTCACCGGTTTCATTCCCAGTCAGGGTATATCCCTGGGTTGTAGGGCCAAGTCCTCAGCCGGGGGTGTGCACGAGGCAAGCAGTCCATGTTTCACTCACACACTCATGTTTCTCTCCCTCTTTTTCCTCCCTCCCCTCTCTCTAAAAATAAATAAGTAAAATTTTTTAAAATACAAAAAAATAAATGTTATTCTATTATTTTTATCTTATGGTTAAATCTAAAACTTATTCCTTATATACGGTATGGCTTCGTTTTCTTTCAGATGGACTGCCAATTATGTCATATTATTCATTAAATAGATCTTCCCTTTCTCGGTATACTTTGATCTATTTGCGCACTCTATCCTTTTATAAATGATCTTTTTAACACAAGGACCCCTCACTTATCTTCTCTTTCACAGTTTTCTTGGCTATTTGCTGGCTTTACTTATTCTTCCTTATAAACTTTAAAATCATTTATCCAGTACTAGAAGTATATGCTAAGTTTCAAAGGACTATCATTTTTATCTAATCTAAAATATACTAAGGGTTTTTACTTGTTTAAATCTTATTTTATATCCTCTATGTTTTAATTTTCTTAATAAAGGTCCTAAATATTTCTTATTAATTTATTCCATAGTTTATAATGTCTGTACTGTGAATGACATTTTTTCCATTCTTACAGTTTATTGACATTTGTCTAATTTCTCATGTCTCATTAATATTTGATCATGGGATCACATGTCAAAGATAGACATGGTAAATGGGTTTTTGGTAGACATGAAAAAAAATTTGATATATTTTAAAAATCATATCAGCATGTGTAGCCATTTTTTAATTTATATTCCAATTATGCCCTAAACTTTCACCTCATTCTTCCTCCAATTTTCAAATAACACACACACACACACCGAACATACAAACACCCATTCCCAGGAATACAAATTTATGTCCAACATACCTTTTCCTTTTGAAAGGTGACTTTGGCATATCAGCCACAGGGATCATTTGTTCTCCTGGGCGTACCCACATGATGGGACCATCATCACTATCTTTTCGACTTTCTAATTTTAGACTAGATAGTGTCCCCCATGGCAGTGTACACTAAAGGCAAATAATTACATAGAAATGAATTATTGTCAAAATGTACCTTTAAATATACATTAAAGAATGCTGCCCCCTGACAAACTTTCATATATACTTTTATACTTATACATTTGAAATACATACCTATATTGAGTATGTTCTTATATATTCACAAATTTTCTATAAAAAATTCTTTTTTCAAACACATAAAGAGAGTAGTTATTTTTGGATGATTTCTTCCCCCAACCCTGTCACAGATATAATTCACTATATTCATCATTTGTTATTCTTCCTCCTACCAAATATGTAATGTTAATAAGTTGCCAAAGTAAGCAAGTGTTCTCTAGGAGAGTCTATAAAAATGAATAATTAATTACTTAAAAAATGGTTAGCAAAAAATAGATACTTCTATAATTAGTTATAATCAAAACCCAGTAAAACAAAAAGAAAAACCTGACCAAAGTCAAAATTTATTTGTTTAGTAGATGCTTGAAGAGTTTGCTCGTCTAAAAAGCAGGGATTAAAATCTTTGAAGAGAGAGAAAAAAGGATCCATGGAATGGTAAGAATGGTATTTTTTAAAAACATTTTATTCCATACTCCTTTTCAAAAATGGGAGAATTGTCAAATTAAATTTCTACAGAATAAATGCATTCATTTGTTTGTCACTTAAAATCTAAAACATAAATATTTAAATAATGTATTTTTAAGTAGCATTCAAAACAAATACAGTCAAATTCCATGATGTCCCTAGTTGGGAGAAACAGAAAAAGAATAAAAAGTTTAAAATAATAAAAAAGGAAATAAAAGCAAAATGGAATGGAGTGAAAAAGGAAAGAAAAATATACTCTTTCTCTCTCCCCCCCCCACACACAGATTAGAAAATTGACTAAGGAGAACTGAAAAAAGAAGAGATGTTCACCAGATTAAGTGGCAAACTAATGATAAAGTGATCTTGTCACATTCTGACATTTGAATTACTAATTGTATTTTAAATGTCTTATTTATGGAGAAAATGAAGCCCAAAAAGTTTAAATGGCTTGTCCAATCCAGCTAAACATAGCCAAGAATGAAATACAGATCTCCTAGGTCAGTTTTCCGCAATGCCACATGGCCATTCCCTTCTCCTAAGCCCTTTCATTTAGTAGACCTCCTTTCTTCCCTTCTTAAATCCTCTGGTACTCAGTTTATAGCTAACAGATGAAACCTAATTTCCTAAAATGGCAGCAACAGGGAAGTATTATTTTCTTGTCCACCGCTTAGCTTTTGCATTACAATTAATACCTGAGAAGTCATAAACATACACTACACTAAAATTTAGTTTCTTTCTTTCCTTCCCTCCAATTCAAATAAAATAAAAATTTCTACAATTCTGAAACAACCATCTGTACCACCTGTATGAAAGTAACACCCACAATTCAGATTGCTTGATATTGTTTTCTATTACCTTTAAAAATGGTGAATCTTCCAACATATCAAGGAACTCAGGGAAGTAATCTCCCACTTCTTCATCAACTGCTCCCACCAAACTGATTTGTCGCATTGGGCCAGCTCTGTAAGTACCATGAGAATATGTTCTTTTTACCTGAAAGATATGGAATTAAAAGTTACAACTAAGATAATGCTTACTCTCACTGTGTAACACTAAATTATATTGTCCAAAAGTATTAGAACATAATGTGAGGTGAGCAAAACAAAAAGCTTTTACAAACAGTAAAATAAAGTCATTTAAAAAATTCTGCACTAAATTGAGCTATTTTACCTTCCCTAGCTATACCTATACACAGCTTATAAAAACAGTTGAGGCCCTGTTTTAGCTGGTGGCTGGTATAGCTCAGTGGATTGAGCGCGGGCCTGCGAACCAGAGTATCGAGGTTCGATTCCCAGTCAGGGCACATGCCTGGGTTGCAGGCCGGTTCCCTGCAGGCCAGTTCCCAGCAGGGGACGCACAAAAGGCAACCATACATTGATGTTTCTCTCCCTCTCTCCTTCCCCCCTAAAGATAAATAAAATCTTAAAAAAATAAAATAAAATGAACTTAAAAAATAAATATAAATAAATAAAAACAGTTGAAATAAACAGCATAATTCTAGACAACTGACCATAACTTCTTACAATACATGAGTTCATTAGCTGATCAATGGTGCTACTGAAATTATATTCAAAAGTTCATATATCTACATTTTTCTAATGGTTCATATCTTTTTATCAGACTTTTCAAAAGTACACACTGTACAAAAGTTACGTTTAACCACCACCAGTGATTGGTGTATCTAAAAGGCCACCAGGAATGATCTTCCCTTCTAAATCTCACTATATTAATTAGAATCCAGTTTATATTTCTAACTCTGATGAAACTACTAGAGATTAAGAAACCAGGAGGCCTAGGTCCTACATCTCTTTGCTATCTACCAGCAGTGTGACCTTCAGAAATCACTATAATTCCTTGAGTTTTAGTTTTATTAGTTGGAACAATTTACCTTGGATTGCCTAGGAAAATGTCATAATTATATAGTCACCTGCACAGTGCTAGCAAATGGGTATTATTCAAATATCAACTAAAATAAAACAGCCTATACCTCAAAAATCATTGGTACTTTTGAGTTTTCACAAGTACATTTAAATACTGCAAAGAGACATATGCCTTTTCATATACTAACACTAGTAAACAAGTCTTTTTTAAGTAAAACAATTTCCTTACATAAACAAAAATTAACCTAAACCCTAATTATTTTTTTCTCCAGATTAGCCTTTGTAGACAGTACATTTAGAGAGATTAAACTGTCTTAGTTTCCTGGGTCTATCATAGCTTTAAAAAATAAAAACAAAAGCCCTACTATAACATTATTAAGCTACAGAGAACGGATAAATACAATTAACGATCAGGAAACCAGAACTAATTATTAACAAGTTTAACATTCAGCCTTCTTGGAGTACAATTTCTGCATTTAAGTGTTAAGTAAAAACATGTATCATTTAGTAACCCAAAATGGGTAAGCATCTTGGGTGGTAACAGTAAAGACAAATAATATGTTTTATGTGGTACCTTTAAGTACCTGACTGATTTTCATTTAACCATGTGCTGTTACTTTAGGTCAGAGAGACCACTCTGTTGACTGAAGAGATTACTGGCCTAGCCATGTCACTGCATTCAGATTACACCTTTGCATTAATTTCTAAGTTTACACATTTTTTTAAAGATTTTATTTATTTATCTTTAGAGGGGAAGGAGAGAGGGAGAGAAACATCAATGTATTGCCTCTAGCGCATCCCCTGCAGGGAACTGGCCTGCAGGGAACCTGCCTGCAACCCAGGCATGTGCCCTGACTGGGAATTGAACCACGATCCTCTGGTTCACAGGCCCATGCTCAATCCACTGAGCTACACCGGCCAGGTACAAATGTTTTTTAAAATTAAAATAGAGCACATGTCTAAATTAAGTACAGACTAAATATTAAAAACTTTAACAAAAAGTAGGACAAACTTGATTTCCCTCCCCCCTCCTCTATCTTGGAGTTGCCTAGAAAGAGGCTGTATCTTTTGATGATTTTTTAAAGTATGGCCCTATTAAAATTTATGTTTCAAAAGGATATTTGTGAGAAACTGAATTTCAAAAAGTAAAGTAACACACTCTACTTGGATTATAATCTTAAATACTGTGTTTGAATCTTTATAGTTCTTGTCACCTCACAGCAAAATACATATGTATTATATGTAAAATTCATTTACACACATAATTTGCTATAAAAAAAGTACAGATTCCTCTCCTCTTTCACCAAAATGTGCTAAAACTGTAAAGTACATTCTGTTTACCCACTATTAAAACCAAGGTAAATTCCATTATAAAGTATAGCCTTTTTAAAAACTATGTATAGGCCCTGGCTGGTGTGGCTCAGTGGATTGAACGCCAGCCTGTGAACCAAAGGGTTGCCAGTTCCATTCCTAGTCAGGGCATGTGCCTGAGGCCTACGAGAGGCAACCACACATTGTAAAAACAAACAAACAAACAAACAAACCCCATGAAACTGTATACTTAGCTATCATGTTCAAAACGAAATAGCAATTTTCTTCTACAACACTTATTCTCTAAATATTCAAGATACTATTCTGATAATCTAATAGGAAATCTATGGCCATAATACCCTGAATGTGCTCAATCTCTCTGATCTCATAAGGTAAGCAGAGTCTGATTGGTTAGTACTTGATAACCCAACAGGATGAATACAAATATATTTAAATTTAAAACTAAATTTTAAAAGTTAAATGAAAATCATCAAAATATTAGTTGTAAAACTAATTTGAATTTTTAAATACACTCTAATATAACTTGTAATTATATACCATTTAACATTTTCTAGTTTAATAACCCAGTAAGTCTAACATATACTAAATCAGTTGGAACCAATTATTTAATATTTTAAACATGGCAAATTGCATATAACAATGTACTCAAATTCAAAAAGTATGTACCTCTTAATGACATACATATATAGCACTTAAGCTATTAAAACAAAATATAAGAATATAATCCACACACTTAATTTCTAAAGAGCTAAAATAAATACCACAAAGACTATGATTTTAAAAGGGTACTCTTATAAAATATATATGATTCTACATTAGGCACTGTTCTAATTTTTAAAATGATAAATGATAAAAAAATACCACAAAATTAGAAGGGGGAAAGGGGCAACCGTACAGCTCTCCTAGGACAACAGTATTATAACATCATATTGGCAAACCTAGACCAAAAATAAATTAAGCTGTATACGCTCAGTAAAAAGGCTATCTTCATTAAAATCTTGGTACTTAAAATATATGCTTTCGTTACCTAGAAAAGTTACTCATCTGGAAAACCTCACAACCTGAAGACACTGGACATTAGATTAATTACTAGGCGGCTTTTTACTCACTTCAATAAATATTAACCTAATCATCAGTTTTCTGATGCAGTTAAAAAAGTAACCTGAAAATATAGAAACATGTCACTGTTTTAAAACGTATCCTACATGCTTCCTATAAGAGAAATGTAGAGCTATACAGTATATACACTATTCTTCCCAATTTAGGTATAGCACTCTCAAAAGACAACACAATAAAAGATAGAAATAATATGTATATATTTGCAAAGCTTAATTTAAATAAATTGATATTTAATTAGTGGCTTAGGAATGGATGTAAGATTTTTCATCTAAATCTCCCTACGGTCCCTGTATTCCCACAAAATCCTACCACCATCATAACTAAATTTTAACTTTTCCCTTCATATTTTTCTCTATAAATGTTATAAAAGGAAAGAAAATAGGATACTTCTTGTGCCCACTACCAGTGTCATTAACAAAATCTTACAAATTTTAGTTAATGGAAAATTATTTATTTAAGTTACATTTAAACTAAAATCCTATTCATCATTGCTAATATATAGTAATCTTTTAAAAAATCACAAGTAATCTTATGATTCTGAGGTTGCTTGCTACAAGAAGAAAAAAAGTAGACTTACTGATGGGAGATACATTGCCAAATATAAATCTCTAAGGCTTAATACTTCTCTCTCTTATTTTTCTTTCAAAAACTGCTACAAGGGAAGAAGCAAATATGGTAATAAGTATTTCAAAAACCCATTAAGAATGACTCAGTTAAAACCATTTGCTGTTTCCCAAAATGTGCTCCCTGATGTGTCGATCCCCAAAGGTAAGATCCAATAAGGGGGGAAAATGGTTGTTCACCCTTCCTGTTTAGGAAGTTCACCAGAATTACACAAACTATTTTGACTTCAAAACCTGTTTTTCTTATAGTTATTTTAGTATACCTAGCCATATCCAAGATATTAAAAGTTACAAAGAATACTTTAATAGTGATCCATAAGTCACTCAATATTCATAACTCCCTTTCTTCCCCAGAAGACATTATAGTTGTTTCTAGCTAGTATCAGCAGCAATTTAAAGAAATGAGAAAAATAGCACAATTATTAAAGCCAAAAATTTAAAGGGGTGAGGGCAGTAGAGGCTGTTGGTTCAATTCTTCTGGTTGGTTTCGTGCGGGAAAGTAGAGGAGGAAAATGAGAAGGGACTCTCTTACTTTATTTTTTAAAGATTTTATTTATTGATTTATAGACACAGGGGAAGGGAAGGAGAGAGGAAGAGAAAGAAACATCAATGTGTGGTTACTTCACACACGCCTCCAACTAGGGACCTGGCCTGCAACCCAGGCATGTGCCCTGACTGGTAATTGAACTGGTGACCTCTTGGTTCCCAAGCCAGCACTCAATCCACTGAGACACCAGCCAGGCCAGGACTCTCTTACTTTAAAAAACAAGGCCAGCTCATTATATTCTCACTGAGGCAATCCAGACATTGAACATACATGAGCACGCCACACGGGGGAGCCATTCCCCCAAACACTTGGCATATCCTTTCAAATAAAAATAGGTAATAACATTTAATCAACATTTTATTTCAAATATAGCCATATAACGTCAACTACAATAATAAGTTATTCATTTAAAAATTAGTACAATAAAGGAAAAACGGTTCTCATCCCATACCTGCTACAATATTTTGTACAGACCAGTTCACAAGCATTCCC